GGCAACTCTCCATCAGCCGTGGCCAAGGCAGCACCTGCCGAGCCTCTGCTTCGCACGCCTCGTGCTTGTGGGCGAAACCAGCCCGCCCGGACGCCACGCTGCCGTTCTGGCGGCTCTGCGGCTTGCTGCTCTTGGATCACGTCTCCTTACCCTCCTGGCAGCCGGCTGCATCGCCCCTTCTAGGTGATGGGAAGAAATCTTTGGCTTCTCTTTATTTCTGAAGGCGAGGCCCTGCGCCTGCATGTGGCTGGCGGTGAGAATGGCCGCGCTGTGGTGGCTTCATCTGCATGGTCTTATGTTATGCTTTAGGCATGGTTTTTCTTGTTAGCATTTATAAAAGCAGCAGAGGTTGTTCCCTGGAGGTGTTTTGATGATAAGTCCTATTTGCTTCAGGTTTTTGCATGTCTTCAGCCTTTGCTTTGTGCTTCGGTTTTGCCCTGGTGCTCACAAGCACAGGGTGGATGTTGGATGGAAATGGGAGCGTTGGCTGGGGAGGAGGGAGCAGCTGAAACTTGATATGGGAGAGAAGCATTCCTTATCCGAGGGGCTCAGCTAGCTGTCTATTCCTGCTAGCAATATCAGCCAGGAAAATGCTACTGGTGCTTTTAAAGCTGCAGTGCAGGCTTGGGGTGCCTTTTGTTTTGCACAGTTCGAGCTATTCTCCATCTTTAGCTAACGCTTCAGTCCCAGCAGGTTCAGAAAAGTAAAAGGAGTTGGTTGTATTCACTTCTTTTTCTTTCCGGAATCATCTTTGTGCGTTTTCTTGCCTTTGCAAGTGCACATCCTGCACTACCAGACTCTACCATCGTGTGACTAATAGGGCTGAATGTGGTGCCACCCCCAGCACTCCCCCAGGGACGAGGAGGACATCTCGTCCCCTCCAGTGCTGGCACATGAGGGGACCTGCTTGTTCTCCTGGCTGTCACTGGTGCACTGGGGAGGATCCTGGCATGGGCCTTGCACAGCCTTGCTGTCCTTTGTGCAAATGGTTTCGCATTTTAATTCCCGGGGAGGTGCCATTTCACTATAGATTGTGGCTGTGACTGGTAACGATAGGATAGAGGTCACTGGATCCATCTTCCCATGGATCATGGGAAATGCAGAAGCAAAAGTTATTTTGCTGAAGTCCATTCTTCTGCTGGGACAGGAGAAGAAAATAGGATCTCGTGCTGGGTTTTGCTGTCTCTCCTCCTGAGCAGCAGATCTGAAATGCATCGGGGAGCAGGGGCTGTAACGCCAATGTCTATCGAGGCACGGCAGGAAGGTTAGTGCCCTCGTTCTTGCTGGCAGAGAGCAGGGCTCTCGGTGCCTTGGAGTGGTGGGCGGGTGGGGTGAGGGACGCAGCAGCCCCGGGGGAAGCACCGGGGGAAGCAGAGGGGCCGTTGGTCAGCTGGGTGGGTTAGCAAAGAGCTGCCGCCTTCTGCTCCGGCACCAGCGAGGCCCGGGGATGGCAGGGCCAGAGGAGAGGGTCCCTAGGGGGAACCAGTGCTGGGAGCGATGGAGGAAGGTGAGTGGCTGGTCCCGGGGAGGTGGGTTGCGGTGGGGGTCTGCTCTGCGTGTCGCTGCCTCTGGCTGCCTACTTGCTTGTGGCAGGAGGGCCCGTGCAGATTGAAGCCCGATGGACACTATCACTGGTCCACAGGTTGTGGTCATCTGCCTATGGGAGGCTTCGCCAGGATGAGCAGGCAAAACTATTTGTCATGCTGGGAGAAGGCTAAAAAACACCTTTAATCCCTATTTTCTTCCCTCGTCCTTTGCCAGTGCGGAGCAAGAGTGCTCTGGCGAGCAGCAGGTCTGGGCTGCATTTGCTGCGGGAGCCTTTTGTGGTTGTGCCCCCGGTTTTATACCGGTGCAAGCTTTTAGCACCGGTGTGAGCAGCCCTGCGTTTCAGTTTCCCATCCAGCCTGCTCGGCTCTCCCTGCCTGGACGCTGCAGGGCTGACCCGCCAGGCTGGCAGAGCTCTCCTGGCTTCCTCTGCCTCTTCAGCCGCTCCCTGTGGCTGCAGAAGAATTGCACGAAGCCTGCCTTTCTTTTAATCCTGTTTCCCAGCAGTGCTGAGCCTGCCAGAGGAGCAGGCGGGGAAGCCCGAGGAAAGGGGCTGCTGGTTGTCTGGGAGACCCAGGGACGGCGAGGCGGGAGCAGGCTGTGCGCAGTGGCGGGTTACGCGGCATCTTCGGGATCTGCGGGAGGAACTGGCAGCCGGCACAGGAATGTCCTTGGAGATCTGTCGGAAGTCCCTCCACGACCTCGGCATCCTCAGCCCGACCTCTTTAGTGTGCTAAGAAGGATTGAGAGACTCCTCCAGGTAGAGGACAGTTCAAGTGGCCATTGCTAGATGCCTCCTGCAGAGCACAGGCAGACACACAGCAGATGTTGTTTGCGAGAAAGACAAGCTTCATTTTTTTTTTTTTTGAATACTAGCTACCTGTGTGATTCTGTTTTGGAAAGTAACTAGGGATTAGTTTTATTTTAAATGGAGCTCACCTGAGTCAGCAGCATGGCTCCCTGCCTCTGCTGTGAGTCACCTTTGCTGACCTGGGCCAAGAGAGGTTCCTACCCTTGCTGCCATGGAGGGGCTGAGAAAGCCTTGGGTGAGCAAGCAGCATTTCCCTGACGTTGTCATCAGCAGCGGCATTAAGCCATTTCTTGCTCCAAGGCTGGATTCTGTCTTTTATCACTCCAGTGCAAAAGGTTCAGTTATATTTGGAACAGTTCCTGACGGCGGGTTGATGTTCCTGTACCTGAAGATAGAGTTTGTGGTAGTAAAGCAAGGAAACCCAGCGCCAAGTTTACGGAGCTGGTGGCTAAAATTGGAGGCTGGATCAGAGGTCGTCTTTAAGGAAGGAAAGGGGTGCGGCTGAGGTCCCACTGGTGCTGCACCAGCGATGGCCCCTGCAAACATCCACGGCTCTTCTGGCTGGGGGACCAGGCTCTGCTAGAGCAGTAGAGCAGAAGCACGTGTGGTTCTTGCAGGGGAAGCTCTGCTCATGTACCTTGACCTCTCTGGAGTGTGTTGCTCACTTTGTCCTTCCTGTAAGTTGGGGTGTTTTCATGATGTGATATGAATTGGTCTTACCCCATGTCAGGCTCGCTTTAGCACTAGCAAAGGAAAATTCTCTTTTATTCAGGAAAAAACAAGCAGATTTCTCAATATTGCTCTGAACACCTGCTGAAACGGGGAACTTGCGGGCAACTGGGACCCAGGCTTTTGCCATCCCTCCTGGCAGCCCAGGCTCAGGCTCTGTCAATGGGAGGGGAGCAAACCCTACTGCTAATTCAGCGTTAACCCACGAGTCCAGTTCAAGCTGAAATGTGGTTAGCTGTGCTGTCTCTCAATGTCCCTGCCACCTGCAGCCAACTGTATGGGTCTTTGTTTCTTCAACCTTGTGTCACTGTATGCTTTTCAGCATGCACCATGTTCCAGCCCAGAAACGGCTGGGTTTTGGGTATCAGTAGGGTCTTGTGTATCCAACTTGTGAACTGCTTTGGGCGAACAAGTCCCATGGGTCTTACAGGGATTTAATTCACTTTCGGTAGCTTCTGAGGCACCTCTGCAAAGGTGCTTTCGTTGCACTGCTTGTTCCCTATGTGCTTCTGAGTTCAATGTTTTAACATTTTGAAGTTATTTTCTTTGACGACTGCTTAACCTTAGTCTCCCTGTGCTAGGAGGGAGCTGTGACCCCAGTCTGTTGGATCCTGGTTTCCTACCTCTGGGGAGATGCACAACTCCTCCTTTAACGAGACAGGTCATTTGGTAAGGCACAGCTCTGCATGTCCTAACCCTGCATCCTTGTGTGCATCGCCTGCTTTTTATGGCATGAAATAACAGGGAGTTTCCCTGACTCACTGACTTGGAAGATCAGCAGCGTGGCTGAGCTTTCACTTGCATTTCCTAACTCTGAGCGTTAGAAATATCTTGGGGAGGAGCTGGTGAACTTTTGAGCTCAGTGGCTGCAGATGCTCTTTGACCAGGGACTGGCATCGCTGGATCGGTTTTCTGTGTCTCCCTGAGTCGGATCGCCTTCAGGAAGCTGCTTTTGATTTATATCCATGCTTTCTTCTTCAGTCTCTTCTGAGACAAGCCCTGACCGTGCTTGTTAGTCTAAGTACATCATAAACTTATACATACTTTTTTATGCATTGCAGCTCTGTCTTAGAGCTCCTGTGCTGTCAGGGTGACAGGCTTTGCTGGTGGGATGGGTTGGCTTCTGCATGGTTTAAGCTTAGGTGAGTACTGAAAGTGGTGAGGTTTCACTGCAGAGACCTTGCAAAGGGATTGGATGGGGAGCTTGAAGTAGAGCCAATATTTGATGATCTGCTTGTTCACTTAATCAGTTTTGCAATAACAAACGAGTCGCAAAAAGAGAATATTGATGAGAAAAGCTTGGTTTTAAATATCAGGATCATGTTACTTTTTAGTGTCCTTCTCTGTGCACAAGAGGTGTGCAGCCCGCACTTTCATCCACAAGGATAAAAATGAGAGTGGTTTTAAATAATGTTGTTTATTTTAAATTTATTTTCCCTTTTTTTTCTTTTGCTTTGGAAATCTGGTTTGTTTTGGGCAGTGAGAGGGATTAACAGCTGAAACACTGGCTTGTTTCTTGCCAGTTGGAAGGTTGGACTTCATTCTAAGCTGTCACCCCCAGTGCTTTTGTTACAAACCCTGCAGAAGCATGTTTTTTTGGCATTTACACCCCCAAATATAGCTTGCAACATTCCTGTTGCTTCTGAGAGAGTAACTCCTATCTGAATACATGTTTCTGACAGCTGCTGTTCCTCCGGCAACACTGTCAAACGGCTTGAGGGGGGACCTCAGTCATCCAGAGCTTCCTTCCCCAAAGTTGCTTTTGCATAGGCAAATGACATTACCTCTCTGCACTCCTGCTTTATGGCAGATAGTGGTAATACAGATTCCTTGCTGTAGGCAGGGCAGCCAAGGGGGTTGATATCGATGAGAAATGCTGTGCAAGCTCTAGATTACAACTGCAGTTTGCAGTTTGCTAATCTCTGCCCAGATCATGATGAATGCTTTTGCAAGAAAGTCAGCTTGTGCCTGCAGCAGCTCTGGGGCCAGAGAGCAGCTGTACAGGTGGAGATGCAGATGAAGCGTTACCAAACTTGCAGTGGAGCACTTCTGCATCCTGACGGTGCTGGAGTGCTTGATGTGGTGCGCATTGCTCGGGAAGTGCCGCTCTCTCTAAATGCAGGTGCAGCGTGGCCAGTGTCTGCAAGATGTGGTGGACATTGTGCCATTGCCTTACAGGTGCTGTACTCCTGACGTGCTGCTGCTCTGAACAATCTCTGATAGAGCGTGTGAGTGAAGCAAGCAAGAGGCTGGCTGGAAAGATGTCCTCCAGCTTTGTTGGCCCGTACTAAGCAAGTGGTATATTGCAGGAGCCATCAGTCTTTGTTCTGGCTGTCTCCTGAGTCACATTGCTGGTGGCTACCAGTCATCACAAGCATCATTACGGTAGGGCCTCTTGTCCACAAACCATGCATGGGAGACCACAGGGAGGTTTAAAGTCCTTTAGCTCACCTTTGCTAGCTTCTGGACCACTGAAGGTTTCAGCCTGACCAGAGTCTCCTTGGAGAGAGTGCAATACCGTGGTCCTGTTGTGAAGCTCCTTTTGCTGTATATCTGATGCAGCTTGCTGTGTTCCTTTGCAGGAAGGAGCATTGGAAGCTGCTAGGCAACCTGAAGACCACAGTGGAAGGCTTGGTGTCCACCAGCAACCCGAACGTCTGGTCCAAGTATGGCGGCTTGGAACGGCTCTGCAGAGACATGCACAGCATCCTCTACCACGGGCTCATCCACGACAAGGTAGGGCTCTGTCCTGCCAGCACTGCTGTCTGTCTGCAGCAGCTTTGGTGCCTATCATGAGCAGGTGGGACAGTCCTGTCTGCCTGCAGCTTGCTTCAGTGCTCGCAGCACGGAGTGGGTACAACGCTTGTAGCAGTGTGGGAAATGATTGAAGCAGGGACTGAGCTCGCCTGGCAAGTGCTGTGGTTGTCAGAGGGACCTGGGTGCGTGTTCTTTCTATCCCATCCATCTTCAACGTGGTTTTTCTAAGTAGCTGTGCCCCCCACACTGAGGCCAGCCCCTCTCTCCTTTCTTTCTGCTGCAGCCAAGTGATAAAGCTGCATTTGCAATAAGTCAGCCCCATATCGTCTGCACTTGGACAACTCCCCAGCGAGGCCTGGCAAGAGAAACCTCGCATCTTTACTGTTTCTGGTTAGCTGTGTTAATAACAGGAACTGGCAGCCAAATCCGCGCTCTGTGTGAATGGGATCTCTCTTTCCAGGCTTTCTTCATGCCTTGCAGTTGTTCACCCAGACATTCCTCCTTCCACGTCTGCCTGGAAGAATTACTCCTTCCCACTTGTGTGCAGAGGCCTGAAGATCTCCCTTTCAGCTTGCAGTTACCACCACAATTAATTTACAATGGAAAGTTGAAGCGAGTCTGCAGGGCATGCCTGGGGGCAGGCTTCCCATCGGTGGCTCTGCCACCCAGAGAGCGATGCAGAGAAGCGAGCGATGCAGAGAAGCGAGCAATGCAGAGGAACCCCAGGCAGCTTGCACGGGCCAGCTTGGTCCAGGAGCAGGAAAGCCGTACCTATGCAATGCTGCACCCGAGCTAATAAGTCTTCAGGAAGAGCCAGGGTGGCAGCTAAGCCCAGCAGGGTGCTTTGATCCCTGGATGTATTAGCTGCAGTCAGCACTTGTTATGGTGCTGCTCTGTTCCCGTTAGTCCCCAGTGGTGCAGGCCAGGGACCTTTGGGAGATCCACAGAGAGAGAAGCTACCTTTTACATGTGAGGAGTGCAGTGCTCCCTTCTGATAGACATGCTGTTAATAGGCTTCAGGAAGTGAGATTGAAATTGTTTATATTTGTCTGTCTATTGGTAACAGTTCATGCCAGACCTGCAAAGCAGGTTGCCTTCTTTCATGCCTTTACTATAGGCAAAGGCAGCTCTTTTACTTAGAAGTGTCTCCCCTGCTTGAGCATGTGTGACACCAATCAAGTTATGAGAGCTGCAAAGGGAGGCCCGTAAAAATACAGCTTCCTAACAGCAGTTTTCTAATAGTTGATCCAATGAAACACTTCCTTTTACTTATTATTTTCTTATCAACTTTTTTCCTACAACTGAGAAGAAATAAAAAAAAGGTGAAAAAATCCTTATGTACATGTTAAGAGAACTAGGGTAAAAGGTTTTTAAACTTTTGAGTGAATTTTATTTATTTGTCCAGAAAACCCCAGTTCAGTCTAGAGGACTAAAATTGCCATGTTAGTTCTCTAGTCTTAAAAAACCAAACCAACCCCTCCTCAAACAAATAAACCACAAAACAGAACCCATTCCTCTGACGCTTGTGAAAGAGGAAATAGAGATGGAAGAAAAAATAATCAGCCTTTTGGTGAAGAGAGACATTTTGGGCCTGTGTTTACACCCAATAGGGTGGTGAGGAAAACAGCAACTCTGCTGCAGTTCCTCTTTAACGGGAAGAATAACTAAGAACAAAATAACTCATTGTCTGAATAAAGCTGAGGCAAACAGCAGCAAAGAGCTGACAGAAATGCAACGCCAAATTTCTTACCTGGGGTGCTCAGCCGTGCTGGTGTCCTCGGTGGTGGCTTGCATCAGAAGACAGCAATGGTTGCTGGTTTTGCTGGGATGTGTTTCCCTGTTGCTCTTCGTGTCCTCTCGCTGGGGTCTGACTCTGCAGTGCTGAGGCATCAGGACTCTCCTCCAAGTCCTTCTCTGGCAGGAAGGGGAGGGGTGATGTGGGAACTTGGTCGACCTTGAACTTGGCAGACCTGCGGTTGGCCTTTAGGATCCTTGTTGCACTGCAGCAGGGATGTGAGCCCTTTGGTGCCATGTCCCATCCCTGGCCCAAGACCTCTCCTGTCTCCACGGTATGAGGGACTGGGATCTTACCTGGTGGAAGAAGAGAAACTCGGGGGATCTGTTGTCTGGTCACTTGTCGGCTGGCCACAAGTGAGAGGTCACCATGGGAGGGGCAGGAGACAACTTATCTACATCAAACCAGTGTTCTTTTACTTGATCCCTCAATCTACAAAACTGTGTTATATGCTCGCGTTGTTTCTCCTTTGTAAAGCAGTGCTGCTCTGTCTATTTTCTGGCCCATCTTGCCAGGGTTAGAGGCTCTCTGCTCATGGTAGCATGGGGCTAATGGGGGATGTTGTCATTTAACTGGGAATTGGGTGGTGGTATCTAACCCCGCCTGTCCCGGGCAGGTGTGCTGCAGACAGAAGGACTACTGGCAGTTTGTGAAGGACATTCGCTGGCTGAGTCCCGGCTCTGCTCATCACCTGGAGAAGGTGGGTTCTGGTGGGGTGGCCTTGTGTGTCCAGTGGGGAGGGGAGAGAGGACAGCTGGGCTGTGAGCCTCATCGGTGGGATAGCGGCGCCTTGGCTGTTGGCCTGCCGTGGGTAAAGTGGCTCCACGGATTGTGGAGGCTGAAGCAGCCACATGTTTGTGTACAAGCCACGTCCCGGGAACTCGGTGTGGCTTGGGTTGAGACAATCAGCTGCTTATTTCTCCCAGGCCAGTCTCCAGCTTGGCTCCTCCGGCTGCAGCAGGCATCACCAAGGGAACGGACACAAGCAGCGCTTGTGTGTGTGCAGGGGTGATTCATGCCTCTGTGCAAATCTCTCAAAGTCTGGGCTGTCCCATTTCTGGGTTGTGCCTTGACCATGCATTTGGCTCTCTCGTTCCTGGCTTGTGCCGACTGCTGGTGCATGGGGATGCTCTTGGCCCTCGGCTGCCCCCTGCCAACGTCTGTGGGCCCCACCCTAGCTCGGCGCAAGGGCCTGACCACCGGTGGTCCCTATGTCCACCCTGCTGCTGGGGGGATGTGGGATGTGACTCCAGTCCAGCTCTTCAAGGTGCAGCAGCTCAGGTATTTAGCTTCCCCAGTTAATGTGTCAGCAAGAACATGACTGTCACCACCGGGGTCGGGTTGGATTTGGGAGTGTGGGGTCCTTCCAGGTCAGTGGCGAGGCACACGGGTGGGAGAGCATGCAGGAGAAATTCATAGTGCTGGTGGCTGTCAGGGGACTTTGGTCGCTGGCTGACCTTTGAGGCGTTGTTCCTCCCTGGTGCTTTTGCCTCCCTGGTGGCTGGGGGGCTGCTGGGACTTGTCCTCCTTCCCGCTGATGGTGACCGGCGCTGGAAAGCTGCCGTTACTGGGGGGAAACCAAAGCTGTGTGGTGGAACAATCCCTCCTCCCTGGCTTGCCTCTGCATGCCTTAACCTGTGCCTGGTGTCCCTTTCCAGTTCATCAGCCTGCAGGAGAGTGGCCAGCCTGACCCAGAGGGCCCGGGGGACCAGGCCATCGCGCAGCTGTGGCTGCAGCACAGCCTGCAGTGCCACTGCCTGTCAGCGCAGCTGAGACCGCTCCTGGGGAACCGGCAGTACATCAGGAAATTCTACACAGGTAAAGAGAAACGGGCCTTTTCCTTCTTATTAGGAAGATATCTAGCTGGTGGCGTTCCCAAGCCGCATGGGAGTGAGGGGGATGGCAGAAAAGGTGGTTTGTGTGTGAGCAACCAGTGCTGTCAAACCACGCGGGTGAGAGGGACCCCGCCGAGCAGCAGTTTTTTCTTCCCAGACACTGCCTTCCTTCTCAGTGACGCCCACGTCACGGCCATGCTGCAGTGCCTGGAGGCTGTGGAGCAGAACAACCCCAGGCTTCTGGCTCAGATTGACACCTCCATGGTGAGTTGAGGTCCCGGCTTTTCCATCTGGCTCTCCCCAAACGCCGGCTGGCTGTGGCTGCTTGTGCAAAGTCTCATTCAGGGCACACGGAGCCCTTGGACAAGGGGCTGGACTTGGAAGTAGCAAAAGGAGCTCCAAGAGCGGAGGAGAGTGGTGAACTGGTCCCTGCGCTGCCTGTGTGAGCATGGCAGGGGTTGGGGTGGGGGAGATGGCTGTGTGGTGCCTGTGGTGAGGTACCTTGCTTCTGGCTGGCATCGAGGATTTGAGTATGAGGACCTGAGGACCAATTCCTTGTAAGTGGCACCTCTAAAGCCCTCTCCAACAGTCCCAGGCTTCAGGGCCAGCAAGCAGAGCTGCCTGGTCGTGAGGGACAGCCACCCTCAGAGGGGACAAGCAGCACCCCAGGACACCTGGGTGCCCACTCCTGCTGGTGACGCCAGTGACCCCCTGTGGAGCCCCGTGCCAGCTGCCCCCTCCCCAGAGGAGGGAACAGTGGCTGCTTTCTTTGCACAGAGCTCCCCCAGAGGAAGGCAATTAATGAGGCTTTGTTAAATGGGGGCTGTGTTCTTTCAGCTGGCCGGCACGTCACTGCCATCCCTGTGCGCGTCAGGTCCTTCTGCCGGGACAAGAGAGATGTGTGACCATGATGCTGAAGGACAGGAGAGCCGTCTGCCTGGGGCACTGGGCTGCCTGGATGGTTTCGCTGAGAGCCTGGTAATTTTGCAAAGGGAGCCCGCCGCGTAGCTGCGAACAAAAAGCCCCTTGCCTTCTGCACTGTGGCATTTTTCCCTCCCCATCCTCCTGCCCCCAGGGCTGCCACATCCTTTGCTGGCTGGTGACCAGGTGCTCAGGTCAATTCCTTTCTGTTGCTGCTCCTTTGACGTGTAGCCCTGTAAATGCTGATTTATTAATGATGCCACCTCTCTTCAGCTTACCAGGAAGAGTGATGGTCCACCTCTGGTGACCAAGAGTCAGAGCCTGACTGCCCTCCCTGCGTCCCTGTACGTCCCTGCTGCAGGCTGCACGCAGCAGCGCTGCTTTGGGTCCTTCTCCAGCCTCCACAATCCAGCCTCCTCTGGCCTCTCAGGTAACGAGGGTGGGCTGGGAAGCTCAGGAGAGACCCAGAAAAGACTTTGCCTTTTTTTCTGCTCTTGGATTCGTTGTGGTGGATGGGTGTGAGAAGATCTCTGCCCACAATGGGAGGGAGATCCCTGGCCTTTGCCCATGGTGGGTTGGCATGCCTGTGTGAAGCCACAAGCTTATTCCCATAGGGTGCTCAGCATGTGCCAGGGTGTGTGACATCCTGCTCCTGCCTCTGTCCAGACAGGAGACCAGCGAGCTCTTCCATCAGCTCCAGCGCCATCCAGCCCCAGGAGCACTGCCTGTCTGCCCGGTCCTCCTCCTTCAGCGAGGGCAGGTCCCCTCTGGAGCAGCCCGGCTCTGTCACACGCTTCCACGTCTCCTCACCCAAAGACCTCTTCTCTCCGGCCAGTGACATGAGCTCCAGCACCACCAGCCAGAACGAGGACACTTGGACGGGGAGTCAGGATGATCCGCAGAGTGATGTTAACGATGGGCCGGAGTACCTGGCCATCGGGAACTTGGGGCGCCGGGGCCGGGCATGCAGCAGCGCCAGCACCAACAGCACCAAGAGCAGTAGCTCCAAACTCTTCTCCTCCAGCAGCTCCCAGAAGCTGGACTCGGTCTCATCCCTGGGGGAGCAGGGGGCAAGCGGAGGTGGAAGCAGGGGCCTGAGCCTGTTGCGCCGGTCCAGCTTCTCGGAGGGACAGTCGTCAGCTCCACAGGGCATCCTCAAGAAGAGCCATGTGCGCTCGCACTCTGACACCAATGTGGCTTCGGGGAAGTTGCATGGTAATGGGGCAGCTTTTCTCGTATGGCTTTGGGGTGTGGGAGTCCCTGGTACCAAGAGGCTGATGCTGGCCACCTCTTTGACTCGATGGATCAGGTTGGCGAGGGGAACAGTGCGCGAGCGGTTGGGAAATTTGGTCTTTGCCCTTAGCTTTCCTGCTCTGCACTGGAGTGATTGGCTGACATCTTGCTTTCCAGAATGCCCTGGACCAGTCTGTTGTTGGTATAGGCAGCTTTTTAAAAAACTTAGAACGTGGCAGTGATGCTGTGGCATTAGCCGTCCTGCTTCCCCACTGGCCTTGCCTGGCTGGGGCATGGGGCCATGGCAGGGCACAGAGCTGGGGCTTGGGCTCGGGCTCGGGCTCATCCTACTGGTAGGATGTCATCCTACTGGTAGGCTGCTGGGTCATCCTGTGCTCTTGAGTGGGTGAATGCATGGCGGGGGGGGAGTGGGATGTGAGGGGACAAACAGTTTGTGGGAGTCTGCCCCACCAGTGCTGCCTTCATGGGAGAATGGAGGTCCTTGCTGCGTAATAACCAGTCTGTCTCTGTTTTCTCTCCCTTAACGCTGCCCTCCTCCTCCTCTGTCTGCCCAGGAGGCCTCAGGGATATCACCATTATAATAGAAGATCCAGTGGCAGGTTTGGGAGCCAGTATAACAGCCCTTCATTAGTCATCATTGCATCAAGTTCAGGATTTCCATCAACCCATTAGTATCCATTTAGAAAACCAAAAAAATTCTTTCTTCCCTGTGTCCCAGCTGGTGCTTTGAAGTGTGGTCAGGTTTATGCATGCGACCTGACTGAAGATCCCAGCTTGGTTTTTGGGAGCAGTGGACCAGACCCAGAAGGGCACTCAGCTCCCCTGCATGGCGTTAGGGAGCGCTGGCCACCGAGTCCCTGAGCTGTGTCCCCTGCCCTTCCCTCCACCCCACTGCCTCAGGAGCCAGGAGAGGTTTCGTCTCTCACCTAGCAAATAAGGGCTGGCAGCTAAGCAGGTGTGGGCTTGAACATCTTATTTTTCCTTTCATTTAGTGGATCTGTGGCATGGGGAGGTTTGATGTTGGCTGGGTTCAGCCGCATCCCAGCCAGCTGTGCTTGCACCCACAGCCAGGACTCCCAGGTGCTCTTCTGGGCTCGGGGCAGGTTTCCCCCGAGCAGAGGTGCTGGGGTGCTGCCATCCCTTTGCCCCACATGCAGAAAGAGTCAGCAGCTCAAAAAAATGGGCTGTTTTCTTTTGCATCCGTTGAACAGCGGCACTGGGTTTGTTGAGCTCACATCTGGGTGCTGAGGGCTCTGCAGCTGGGAAGGCTCCTTCCTGGAGGTGGTGGGTGTTCAGGCAGATGTGTCCAGCCCTGTGTCCTGCTCCAGCAGAGGATGCCGAGCACTGCCTCGCTTTACCCTTCAGCAGTAGGCTCTGTTGGATGTGGCATCCCCCAGGCTGGTGATCATGAGGGGGTTTCTGTGCTGATTTTCAGCAGGGTTGAGGTGGCTGCAGGATACCCTGCCAGGCTGCAGTGATTAGCTGTGAGAGCCTCCCACCCCGACGGGTCTCCTTTGTCACACAGCCTGTGGGGTGGGTTGGTCCCAAGCCCCATCCTGGTGGCTGCCACTTCATGGTCTTGGCAGGGAGATGCTGGTGTTGGTGGACTCAGGAGCCTCCAGCCACATCAGGGTTATGGCACAAAGCTGGGAGCAAAGAGGAGTAGGAGGTTGAGAGGGTGGGGTTGCCCTTCTGCTGTGCTCGGGATGTCAGGATGTCAGCTGGTGCCTGCCCCATGTCCACACCTGTATGCTCCTGTCCCACTCCAGTCGGGGTGTTTTGAGTCTCCTTCAGCAGTCCTCTGTCACCCAGCCGCTCCGTCCAGGTGCTCCCCGGGGCTGTGGCTCTCCATAGAGCACCATCTGTTGTTGGTCTCTGGTCAGGCCAGCTCCTGGCAGTCCCCGCCAGCTCAGCCCGGCAGGGAGTTGCACTGCAGTGTGTGCGTGGGGCAGAGCCCTGCCCACAGCCTGTGTAGGTCACCTTGAGCACTGCAGCCCAGGCTCCAGGGTTGCGTGTGGGGAACCCTGGCTTCTAGTTGAGCAAGAGCATGTCCTTCAGGTGCCTCCTTCCGCTGTTGTCCAGGCTGCTTTGCAGGACTGGGAGCCCCACAGGTCCCTCGGCTGCTCAGGTTTCCCCTTGTCTCCTGACTCTTTGCCCTGGGGGATAACTCCTCCCTTGGAGATGCTCCAGCAGGAAGAAGGGGCTGGCAGAGGCGCTGGCTGGAGCCTGTTGTGTCCCCCAGCTCTGCTAGGGGGTGAAGAGAGGAAGGCTCAGGACTTGACTGCTCCGTGGCTCTCATGAGCTTCTCTCCTTCTTTCCCCTTTTCCTCTCCTGCCTGAAATGCCCTTCTAGTTTTGTCCCCTCCTGGGCTTGCCCTCAGCCGTGGCACGGAGCAGGAAGATGTCCTTCCTTGCTTCCCATCCGTTTGTGCCTGCCCGTGTGATGCTGAGCCCCTTTTCATTTCACCCTGTGCAATGGCTGGGCGCCTCCGGGATACTGATGTGTGCCTGGTGTCATCTTCCTTTCCAGAGTCCCACGGCGATCCAGGTGGAGGGAGAGGGCCCGTCTCTGCTTCCACCCAGAGCAGTGAACTGAGCACACCCAGCTCCCTCTACATGGAGTACGGTGAGTACCGCCAGCCTCAGCGGGATGCTCACTCCTGGTCAGGCTCCTCCATCGGCTGCGGTGGCCTCAGCTTCTGGCACCTGCTTGTGGGATGCTGGTTGGGCACTGGGGATAGCAGTGGGTCCCTCCCTCATACGTTTGTCTCTTGCTTTTCTAGACTCTGGGCAGTACTTGAGCTCGGGGGAAGGGATGTTCAGAAGACCCTCGGAAGGGCAGTCCCTCATCAGCTACCTCTCTGAGCAGGACTTCGGCAGCTGTGCAGACCTGGAGAAGGTGAGCGAGGCAGCAGCAGCCTGTGTGCTTTGGAGAACATATCTTACTGCAGGTTCAGAGATACTTCCCTCCATGGGGAAGATAATCCCGTAGTATTTCTTTCCTGCTATAGAGCTGTGCACAGAACTTCAAGGCTGAGTTCCTCAGTGGTGTCTGGCAGCCAGGATCTGCCCATCCAGCATATACACAGCAGCTTTGCAACATGTTAGGGCTCCTCAAGGACATGTGCTGACTACCCAGAGTGGATGTGTTGCACATCCTCTTCGTAGGATGCCCCTTGTGTTTTGTGAGTATTCTGGAGCCCAAGAAGGCTTTAGTTTCTAGGTCCTCATAGAAGAGTCAGGTTTCATGGGGTCAGCAAGGATTAAGGTCTTTCTACCACCCTCCATGAGTAATAAGCTCTTTCCTGTCACAGGTGGGGAACTAGATTTTACCAAGTCTTCCTAGTTTCTCCATGGTAGAGCCTTGAATGCTTTTGCTCTTGCCTTGCAGGAGAATGCCCACTTCAGCATCTCAGAGTCCCTGATCGCTGCCATAGAGCTGATGAAATGCAACATGATGAGCCGGCAGCTGGAGGAGGAGGAGGAAGACAGTGACAAAGAGATCCAGGAGCTTAAACAAAAGATACGCATTCGGCGCCAGCAGATCCGCACCAGACACCTGTTTCCTACCTGCCAGGAGATGGGCTCAGACAGTGGGTGATGTGTTTTGGCCTAATCAGCTAGTGGGATGTGGGTTTTCTGTCTGTTGCCTGTCCTTATAGCATACTGCCTTCCTGCCCCTTCATGGGAAACAATCATATTGCTACCGAGGTGCTGCAGAGATTTGTGAAACTCTGCTGCTATTGAAGACCGTAATGGGACTGATACTGTACATTGATAACACTTGTGCGCTGCTGACGCTGAGTTATGGAATGTAATTTCATTTTGAACCCATAGTGTTTTCCATACTTGACCTCCATCCTTCCCTGCCGTGGCCATACCTGGCTATCAACTTCTCCCTTAGCTGTCAGTGACCCTTCAGACCGCTTCCACTGATGGCCTGGCTGTGTTGCATTTCTCCCAGGTCTTGTGGCGACAGACAGCGGGTCCCAGTTCAGCTCCCATGGCTCCATGCGGCTCTCTGACTCTGGCTCCGATGTGGAAGAGTACGAGATCCGAGGTAGGAGGGAATGGCTCTATTGGCTTCTTGCATAGAGACAGACTTCTCCTTGGTGTGGTGGTGTTGAGGTCACGGAAGAAGAGCATGTCCCTCTGGCCTTCAGGGTGGCTTTTCCCAAACAAATGGCTGAATTCTGAGCATGAGCAGAGCAACCAGTTTCCCTCATGTGATGGCATGACTTTCCTTTGAAATCCTCTGTAATCCTCTAGCATTCAGTGCCTCTGGCTGGTAGGTGGTTTCCATTTCATTGCCTGGTCCACATAGCAGCTGTCACAGCTAGAGAGAGGTGGGAGAGCCGCCATCCTGCTCTCCTCCTCCCCGGGCAGAAGGAGCCATAGCTCTGACCACTTATCTCTTGGGTAGCAGTGGTGGGCGCTGGTCACATCCTGACCTGTAATACCTGTAGTCTCTGCTCCTGGCAGCTTGGGTGGCTGAGCTTATCGCCCACAGGAGACCTGTCTGGGTCCCTGGGTGTCCCTTTCCTTCAGAGCCTTGTTCATCCTCTGAGGTGGATGACTTACTTCTCAACAGTACCTCCATCTCACTGACTTTAAAAAGAAGATGGAGCAGTCCAGTCTCCAGCTATAAACTTCTCGTCTCTTGACTGTTGACAGCAAAGCCTTCCTTTCAGTCCCTGAGGGCTAGATTTTGTGCTCAGTTTTGAAGCCCACAGAGGGGTGTGTGAATTCAGTTCTGGGCTTCTCTTGTGCGAGTGCTGCTCTTGTATTATGCCCTTTCTCTTTGGCCTGGCCAAAGCACTTAAGTCAACTGTTTTGTCATCACCGTGTTATACAGATGGTAACGATGGATCTAACCTGATTCAAATGTCCAAGAACGGCCTCTCAGTGTCAATGGCTTCCTTGTTCTCAGGTAGTACCCTGCAGTGCTCCCCTGCGGCACGCGTGCGTGTGTGTGGAAGATGTGTGTGTGTGTGCACGTGCACACTTCTCAGAAATCTGCCTGATTTGGGAACTGTGAACAGCATCATCCAGACGTCAGCAAGAAAAGCCATTGCAGGATGATGTGGCAGGACGGAGCAGAGAGGAGGCAGAGGATCTCTGCCGTGGGCTCCATCGGCCAGGGTGTTTTGCCATGCAGTATTTTGGATATACCTTCACTGTGGTGAAGACCTGTGTTGCCTGGCGTAGGGCTTGGCAGGGCGATGGCACAGCTTTGTGCCTCTGTATCTGTTGAAGGCTGAGCCTGGGCTGGATGAGAGCAGAGTCCTCTACAGTGTGGGACCGGGTCTCCATCCCAGGTGCCTTGGGGAGCGTTATCTTGCTTGACTTGGCAGAGCTGGCATGCCACAGCTCTGATCTGAACCACGGCCAACCCTTCCCGTCCTGCTCAGACTTGACTTGGAGAAGAATCCTTCCAGAAAGAAGTCCTGGAGAGAGAAGTAGTGAGAGCAGACAGGGCACAGGCAGTTCGTTCACGCTGGAGGCCCTGGGCACCGGGATCACATGCAGCCAGGTCTTGCTTAGTGTTTTTATTGTTTACAGTACTACTAGATAATCCTTCCAGTCTGCTGGCCGTGTTTAAATAACCTTCATGTGCTCCAGGTTTGCTTTAGCAAGGGAACAGCCTGCGTGGGCTGCTGCTGATCTCTCCTGTCAGGTGTTCGGCGCCAGCACGTTGCTCCTGCCGGAGATGCTTGGTGCTCAGAGCTTCCCCGTCAGCCCTGCCGTGTCCTGTGTTTACAGCCCAGGGGTTTAATCCAGGGGGGCTCATCCTAGCCTGAAGCTGGCATATGGGGGCTGGGGTGATGTCCTTGGGTTTGGGGGCTGTTCACAAGCCTCCTGGGGACTATCCCACCTGGTGATAGCATTGGCAGCAGAGGCGTTTTGGGCAGTTAACTGGAGGCTTTTGGGGAGTGGCTGCAGTTAAGGTTGGGAAGCGAGTGGTGGCAGGATCCCAGTGCTAGCCCCCACGGGAGCCTAGGGTCAGATTTGGCTCCCTCTGCCATCCCTGAGACAATGCCCGTGCCTGAGTGTGCCGGCTCTGCCTTCCCATAACACTTGGCCCACACCGTGCTGCGTGTGCCCCGCTGTTTGCTCATGTTCGTCGTAGTCTAGGACCATGCGGCACCTTCCTGCGCAGAGCCGAAGGCACCAGAGCATGGCAGGTATGTCTGGCCGGTGCGCTACATGGCCGGGAGGCTACGTTTGACTGAATTCCCTGTTTTCTGCAGCTAGAAGTCTGTTTGCATGTTGTAGATATGCGGATTCCTTAGCATTAGGATGCTTTCCTGTGCCTGTTTCTAGCAATGGATGTCAAACAAGGAGGGTCAAGCATCCATGCTGAACTCCACTAGTGTGAGTCTGTAAATTTACGTGCAGGACTGGGACTTGCTCCCTTTGCTGCCAGGGCAGCCCCACTCTTCCTAGGGGGCTCGGGGGGTGGCACTCTTTGCTCAGCCAGGCTGTGATTCCGTTGGCCTCCGTGTGCGGTTGGTGCCTGGCCGGGATCGGATGGGCTCTGTGCGGGTCCGCGTAGCTGACCTGCTAGGGGTGGAGAAGCAGGGACCCCGAGCTGTGCCTCCCCTAGCCAGGCACTGGACCACTGGATCGGGGGGGAGCTGCAAGCCTGTGTTTGGGGGTGGTGTGGTCACTGCAGACCCCGTTCCTAGAGCTCCCCAGAGGTACAAAACAGGAGACCTGCTGGGCTGAAGGTTGTGCCGTTGGCCTCTCTTCTGTCCTGACCTGTAGTACTTTCCCCTTGCATGCCCTCCTTCCCTTTTCTGGGAGTCTGTCTGCAATGAAGCAGGGTTTCTGCCTGCTTCTGCCTGCCTTGTACTGCTGGAAGAGTCTCTTGTCCCAGCGTCCTTCCACTGTTGAGATGAATTCCCTGTCAGGGTTTAACCTGCTGGAGTGAAAGAGAGATGAGTGATAAAGGTACTGCTGGGTACTGCCTGGTACCCGAGGCTGGCACTGGGGAGGGATGCAGGGGCAGCCCAGGGCTGTTGGGGAGCTTATGGAGGGGTGGAGTGAGCAGGACCCCAGTGTCCTGCACCTTATCTTGGACCCCTCCCTCCTCGGGAGACGGGTCTGTGGCCTCTGCAGAGGGCTGGCCCCTGTGGCTGCTGGCCTGCTCTGTGCATGGGTGCTGACGTGTCTCTGGGGTGCTGGGCTTAGGCTGCCAGCCCCAGCTGTGCAGCTGCTGCTGACAAGCCGTGGCGTGGCCACCGTCTGATCTTACAGGTTGCTGTCAAGTAGAGAGAAGGGCTCTGCATCCCATTGCTAATCCCCTGCAGCATCTATACTGTGTGTAGAGAGCTACTAAACCTTCTTGCTAACCTTTCTGTCCTGCCCTCCTAGCTCCTGTGTGCGTACTGTATCAGGCCATGTCACTGCTAGGACTTGGTGTGTGACCTGTACCAGCAGCCACTTGTCTTCCCCAAACCCCAGGCTCACTGTTTTCACAGCATCCCACCATGTCCTTCCCTTCTAACTCCGACAGGTGACTGATTAGACTGCACCTCTCCTTGCTGCTCAGTGCCACTGGTAGAAGTTGATGCTGTAGTTCACGTGCTATTGACAGCTTGATGAGTTTTACAGTGAAGCTTTGGTTTGAAATGAGTGTATCCCCCTGCCCTGCCCCATCTGCTCCACCTTGTCTGTTTGTGATTCAGATGCAGACATCAAGAGGAACCCAGGCTCCAGCAGGAAGTCCTTTCTCTCCTCAGAGTCCATGTACGTCTTCTACTCGTGGCGAGACATCTTGGTACCAAGTTCCTCTTCCTGCCCAATTCTGCTCTTCCATGTGCATCAGCTGCTGCTTTGCACTGGAGTGGATATCCCTCCCTCCATCTGTTTGTTTAGCAGTGGGGCACTGGGTCCTAGTCTTAAATTTGGGAAGCAGCACCTGGGATGATCAGGATATTCACGAGGTAGATATGATATGGACTGGTGTCAGGAGAGATACCCATACCTCCTAGTAGGTAAGAGGCTGGGGAGAGGACCCGGCACAAACTGGAGCATCTGGACTGGCAACTCAGGCTGAGCCTCCCCTGCCTCCCCTCTCTCAGCTGGGACGGCCTGTTAGACTACCTGGTGCTGCCACCTTCTCTCCAACCCTCGCTGCTGTGCTGTGACCCGGGGGTGGAACCGCTGGCACACAGCGATGCTCACAAACTCTCTGTGCAGTGCAGCAGCAGCTTAAATGTAAAGTGCTCGGTCCTTTCCCCGCACTGCCCTGGGGTGGAGAGGTGGGGGCTGTGGGGAGGTGAATCACAAGCTGTTTTAAGCACAGCTGCTATGTTAATGCTCTGAAAGCAAAACCCCTTTGGGATGCAGGGGCCCCTCTGCTTGTTGGGTGAGATACAAAGCTATGTCTGTGCTTGGCAGCTTCTTTGGTAGGTTCGTACTGGGAGAGCTGTTACTTCTGGCTCGTACAGACATTGGCTCTCACTTTGCAGCTTCCCCTGCAAACAGGCACATGTTTTGTTGAGTTAAGGTATGTTTTGCTTGCCTTTCTAAACAGTTGTTGTGCCATTAGCCGGCTTTGCTTGGGGGCAGCTGCAAAGGCAGAAATCAATCACGTGTATCAATTTTAAGCCTGTGTAGCAATGCAGAAGTAAGGTACCGGAGTTGAAGGGAGCATCTTCAGCTTGAGCTGGGACCGGCAGCAGGGGTTGTGAGGAGGGCACAGCTGTGAGATCTGGTACTAACCACTCCCTTCGCTGTCTAGATCTCACTCCTTCCTCAACTCCAACTCGGCAGAGGCCGTGGCCATGGGCTTGCTGAAGCAGTTTGAGGGCATGCAGCTCCCAGCCGCCTCTGAATTGGAGTGGCTGGTCCCTGAGCACGACGCCCCGCAGAAGGTAGGGTTGTGGGTCCCCGGTCACCGATTGCATTTGATCTTCCACGAACCCCTGGCTTCAGCCCACTGCCGAGGGGCTTTGCTAGTCCCGGTGATCCCTTTGTGGAGCTGGAGGAGGGGTTTTGTCCGGGCTCCAGAGATGGGTGCAGCCAAGCGGGGCTCTGCCACCGCAGCCTCCTACAGCAGAGTGCCCGGATCCCTGGGGACATCCCTTCTCCAGCCCCCATTCAGCTGGAGCAGCAGCTCAGTGCCTGGCAGTTTTCCAGAGGGCTGCAGTTGCAGGTGCATTGCCTTTGCGGTACCAGGCAGGGATCTGACCCTCTTGCCTTACCTCTCCAGCTCCTGCCCATCCCCGACTCTCTGCCCATCTCTCCTGATGATGGAGAACATGCCGACATCTACAAGCTGAGGATTCGGGTGCGTGGAAACCTGGAGTGGGCCCCACCGCGACCACAGATCATCTTCAATGTTCACCCAGCCCCAACGTAAGGACTTGGCGCAGCCGAGGGCTCTCCGGGAACCTGCCCTTTCCAACCCTTTTCCATCAACACCAAGGTTGATTATCCTCTCCTTCCCACTTGACCGCCAGGGCTTCCCTGCTCTGAGCCTGGTAAATCCACGGTGGTTACCACCGGCAGCTGGTGCTGTGAGATGGAGCCAGTGCCTGCGGTCGGTGCCTTTGTTGTGCACCAGGGCACAACAGGGCTTTTCCCCTTGGATTTGTTGTCCACACTTAAGTGGCAAAGCATGTGGCTATCTCTGCCATCCAGACCTGTGCCAGTGACCATCCTCTGGTGCCAGGTGCCGTCAGGGCTGGACTCATGCATGTTGTCTTCTGTCTCTGGGCAGGAGGAAGGTGGCCGTGGCCAAGCAGAATTACCGGTGTGCGGGCTGTGGCATCCGGACTGATCCTGGTGAGTGGTGGGACCCTGATCCATAGCTGGAGAGTGGGAAAGAACCTGTGAACAAGTGGGAAGACACAGAGTGGGTGGGTGGTGGCAGAGCTCAGCACAAGGTCACTGGGGAAACGGTACACTGCCTTTGCCAGCTCTGCCTGCACATTGGTGTGCACCAGCCACAGAGGAGCCTCCTTCTCCAGAAGGTCATGGGGCTGGTGGAGGCAAAGAGCAGCCAGCCTGTCCTTTGGAGGGCATTTCAGATGTTGACTCTTCTAAGGCAAAGGCATCTGTGGGGGTCCTAAAGCTCCCAGCAGGTTCTGCTGTGGGTACAGCTGCAGAGCTCTTTGACCAGCTGTGTTTCCTGAATGTGTAGGTAGATGTGGCTGCATGAGACTGGACTGTGGTCCCAAATGCTTTTGCAGTCAGCAGGGGTGCTTGCAGACCCCAGTATTGAGCACTCTGGGGATGGAGGAGGTACGGGCAAGGCAGACTGCCTTGCTTGTTGGAAATGCTGAGCAACGTTGGGAGTCCAATAAGTGGTTGGGCAGAGCCTGTGCCTCGGCTGACTTCCCTGTCTGCCTGGGTTTGGCCAGATTACATCAAGCGGCTGCGGTACTGTGAGTACCTGGGGAAGTATTTCTGCCAGTGCTGCCATGAGAATGCCCAGACGGTCATCCCCAGCCGCATCCTGCGCAAGTGGGACTTCAGCAAGTACTATGTGAGCAACTTCTCCAAAGACCTGCTGAGCAAGATCTGGAGTGACCCACTCTTCGATGTGCAGGATATCAATCCTGCCCTGTACCGGAAAGTGAAGTCTCTCAACCAAGTGTGGGTAAGACCCTTTCCACGCCTTCCTGAGTGGGGTTTGGGTGAGGTGGGTGGCTGCCAATTGTAAACCATATTCCAGGGAAGCTGGGGAGAAGCGGATATTTCAGTTTTTGAGGCTTAAAACCTCAGCACCGTGGGTTTCCATTCACCTCTTGTTCTTTGTCCAGTAATGTAGGAATTTCAAAAGCAATTTCTGCCTGGTGTCCAGCTGGGCTTCGGTTTATCTCTTGGAGGATGTGATGATGGTTGCGCTCACTTTGCCCTGTGTGGTGTAAACACTTTGGTAGCAAGGGAGCAGCAGCTGAGGAGCAGCGGTCATTTCATCAGTGGAGGAAACAGGGCAGGCCTGCTTGGCAAAGGACCATGCTCTGTTTACTGATTCTTGTGTCACCCCTTCCTCGCCAGCTGCTGCGGATCCAGCTTTTCCACATGAAGAACATGTTTAAGACGTGCCGGCTAGCTAAAGAGTGAGTCCCGGGCTGTGAGATGAAGCTGTTTTGCTGTCCTGGATCTGTCCCATGGCAATTTGCACTGGGCATCTGTGTAGCCTGTGCAATGAGCAACAGGGGGAGAGGGGAGTGGAGGGGGAGAGAAAGCAGAGGCAGTAGAGAGAGGGAGCTTAGTGGAGTTGCTTTGCTCTGAGCTCTGGTTTCTCTGTCCTTGCAGCCTCTTAGACTCCTTTGATGCAGTGCCTGGCCACCTGACGGAGGATTTGCACCTCTACTCGCTGAGCGACCTCAGCGCCACAAAGAAAGGGGACCTGGTGCCTCGCCTGACGGAGCTCCTGAAGGCAGGCAGCCTGCACGTTGAGAAGTGCATGGTAAGGCCTCCTCGCCTCCCTCCTGCACGGCTCCGTACCCTCGGGACCACTCTTGGGAGCAGGCTTTGCTGCAAAGATAACCGATGGGGAGGCATTTGACATGCAGGGCAGCCACCAAATTAACTGATTCAATGCTATCTGCTCCTGCCTGCTCCACAGAGCTCCTACCCAGCACGTATGGGATGTTTGTTACCCCATTTTGGCACTCCCACACCCCTGGCACATGTTGATTCTGCCTTGCTGCGCTCCATGCTGGGGAAGGACTGTCCCACATGGTTAGAGCAGGGCACCGTGTCCTGCTGTCCTGCTCTGCTCTACCTCCTGCCCTGCTTGCCAGGGAGATGAGGAGCATTTAGCTGCTTTTTCCTCACCTTTTCTCCTTCCAGCTGTGCCAAGCCAAAGGCTTCATCTGCGAGTTCTGCCAGAATGAGGGCGACATCATCTTCCCCTTTGAGCTCAACAAGTGCAGGACATGTGAAGGTGAGATGCTGGAGAGAAACGGAGGGGACAGACCCTGGGGCCACCCCTGTCCCCCAATGCCTCCTGTTTGAGTGGCATTTGTGCTAGCGAGAGGTACAGAGCCAGAGCCAGCCAGACCAGAGTGCCTCTGTGCATGGCCTGTGTCTCTGCACCACGTTATCACAGCAGCAGATCAACATTATAATGGTGTCTGGCCAGAGCTGCTGGCGCGGTGGAGCGTGTAGGTCCCTTCCTGACCATGCTGTGTTCTGCCTGCCCCTGCAGCAGTGGGCAGTTGGGTTGTGACTGCAGCGAGCGGGTGTCTGGGAGCCCTGGCTTCCCTTCTGCTGTGGTTACGGGACAGGCTGCAGCCTGCATGCAGCTCTCTTGCCCCTGCTTGGATGGCTGGAGCTGACCTTGTAAAGCAGAGGGAGCCTGAAGGCTTTGTCTCTGTGCCCTTCCTGCCTGCCAAGAAATCCCCAGGCCCCTTCAGGAGTCATCCTCGATAATGCCCAGTACTAATGGCCAAGCAAAGCTTGTCCCTGCAGCTTGGTTCCAACCACTGAACTGGCTTGAAATGGCTCCTGACAACATGTAAGTCTTGGTTTGGCAGGTGCCGTGCCAGAGAAAACTTGGGGCAGAGTCACTGTTTCCTTGGAGAATCAGGAAAGTTTGGGGAGGGACCTTGTGCAGAGCAGGAAACCTCCCACCTGTGCTCCCAAAGGCTTTGCAAACCAGTTGCAGGGACCCTGCAGCGTGACTTCTTGCTGCTTCCAGAACGGTGCTGGACCCCCGCTTCTGGTCCTTGTTCTGCCTTGGCTTTGGTTTGAAATGTCCTCCTGGACAAGCCTGGAGCATCCCTCCCTGGGGTGAAGAGCATCAGGCAGTCTGTGTCAGCCTCTGCCAGCTCTCAGCCATGCTCTCCCCTGCAGAGTGCAAAGCCTGCTACCACAAATCCTGCTTCAAATCCACCCGCTGTCCCCGCTGTGAGCGGCTTCAAGCCCGGAGAGAGCTGCTGGCCAAGCAGAGCATGGAGTCCTACGTCTCGGACTATGAAGACGAGCTGGAGCAGCCGGAGGCGGTGGCAGCCACATGAGCATGTTGCAGCAGAGAAGCAGATCGTGGGTTTATTTACATGCGTGGCCTTCGTCACCAGAGACTGAGCCACACGGACTGGAGATGAGGACTGTCAGGAGGCCTGGAGCGCTGTCTCGGAGGGATCTGTTTTCCCCCATGCAGTAGTGCTGGGCTGGGGAAGGGGCATCTTCCGTTGTCCAGGTCTGCTCCAGGTACCGCTCGCACTCCCCGATGCCTTTGTTTGGGGAAAGGTGGCTGCTCCTGCGTGTCCTGCAGGCAGAACAGGGACCTTTTCGAAGCAGTTGTTCATGCTGGACCAGGCAGGGCTGTGCTGCCAGTCCCCGTGCCCTGCTCCCCGACAGGGTCCCCTGGGGGGTCAGCACTTTCTGCTCATCAGCTATATACTAGGAAGCTCTGGCCATGTCTGCTCCTTGGAGGGGGGGAATCAGCTCTCTGAGTCCTCTGATCCCCTGTTCTGCTGCTGGGGGTTGTGTGCATGGAGGGAGGGTGGGGGATTGGGGTTGGTTGTACATTTAACAGCTCCCTTTCTCAATTCTGGCTTGGGACACTGCTGGAGAACAGTTGCTCTCACACCAGGATCAGAGCAGAGGAGGTGGCAGTTGTGAAAGTGTCAGATTTCTGCCTCGCCTCTCCGTACTATCTGTGCTGAGCTGCTTTCCCTGCCCTCCACCCGCAGAGGGGCACTGCCCCCAGAGCAGCCGCATAAAGGGACCGGTGCTGCCGGGCTTTCAGCAGAGGCAGATCCCCGTGGCCAGAGGATGCAGTAAGTGAGGCTTCCAACCCCGCTTCCTCCTCATGCTGTCAGGCTGTCCTCTTGGGGGGACATGTCCTCCTCTGAGGGTGACATGGGACCTCACTCTGGTGGCACCAGCACCTGGCTTCCCTGCAGCTGCCTTCTGCCCGAGACCTGTTGGGATGCAGGTGAAGGCTCAGCCCTCTGGCTGCATCCCCCGAGCCTCTTGTCTCGGTTTGTTCTTTTAGGTTGGGTTTTTGTTTTTTAATCTGCTGGATTTGGTTTTATTTTTTTAATGTGGTTGTTTGTATTTTTAACTGTGTGTTCGCCCCCCCAAGGAGGTGCTGCTTGAAATGCCTCTTTAGGGGACATGCAATCTGCTCGGGACTCACTGGTATAAAACCTCCCAGGGCTGTCCTGCTCCTGGTTCCTCACCCCTGGATGGGGCTGATGTTTGCCAGGTGTCCTCTCTCCCAGCAGATCTCCTGCTCCCCTTGGGAGAGGGGTCCCTGAGCCAGGCAAAGCCTCAAGGCTTCCTGGCTGCGATGCAGTGGGGTGGCCAGGCAGCCTGCTTGCAATTGGGTGTGCACAGGGGAGAGGGGTTTGGCACTGGGGTGCTGCAAAGGGTTGGTCCCTCGCTGATGCAGAGCTGCCTGCAGCAACCGACGGCTCCGCGGGGTCGGACCCAGTGGTACAAGGTGAGCTCTGTCCTCTTGGGGCTAGCGGTCAGTCGAGGAGGTGCCTCTGCATCACAGCGGTACGCTTTAGCCCATGGCATGGGTGAGTGTGCAGCACCACCTTAGCATGGGTGGGATGTGGGGTGGCAGTGGGGTGTTTGGAAGGAGCGTGTGGCCTGTGTATGTGCGAGAAGGGTGTTGAGGGACCGGGGAGCAATACACTGGCAGAAGGCGTCTAGGGGCAATGGCTATTGCAGCGCGTGCCCTGGCTTGGTCTGGGATGTGACCGCTCGTGGGCTGTCCCTGTAGGGGTGGCAGGGTCGGAGCTGGGGGAGAGGCTGGGACCAGGAGAGGTGGCCGCAGGTCTTGGTCAGGGAGGGTGGCTGCAAGCCTCGCAGCTGGGGGCTAGGCTGCTGCATGGCAGCATCTCTCCCCTGCTCTGTAGCGTCCTGACAAAGCCAGGTCTAGCCCGGGAAAGGGGATTCAGCTCCCCACTCGCTCCCCTAGGGTTTTTGCCTCCTCCCGTCTTGTTTCTGCTTGTTTTCCCCAGGGGAGCAGCTGCTCTCCCGCTCGCTCTCCATCTCTGCAAGCCCTGGGGCTGCCAGACGCTGGTCCGCCTTGGCCTTGCCTGTCCCCAACCCCAAGCCGAGCCCTCCCGCTACTGCCTGGAGCTGGCACCCCCTTCCCTGGAGCTGCCTCAGCAGCACACCTCCATCCACTCTGTTTTGTTTGAAGCACTTTAATGTCATGGGACAGCAGCTGAGAGGCTGCCTGTGTCCCTTTCTAGAAGCACTGAGTACATTTAGAGAAGAGGTAAGGGATTTTTGCTTATTTGTGGTTTCCACCCTCCGCCATGGACTTTGTCTGGAAGCAGTGGGACTCGCAAACCTGGCAAAGGTCTCCAGGGCAGGATTGTGCCCAGCACTGACACTGCTGCCCAGCACTGACCGCTACGAGGAACACTGGAACTGGCCAAGGCAGTGAGCTCTTTTTAAGAGAGAGCGAGGGGCTGCCCCGGCCATCAACTGGAGCCCTCCCCACAGGACTGTTGCACAGCTGCACAGCATAGCAATGAAAATGCCGTCCCTAATAAACTAAGTTAATAAGGGGCCTGGTTGTGTTGTGGCATCATTTCAGGCGGGTTAACTCTGGGTCAGTGCTGCAGTGCCTGTTGGCCCCTGGGGCAGGGAGGGAGTGGGATGCGCCAGCTGATGGCACGGGACAGTGGGGGGACAACTTGTGCAACTGGTGATGCATAGCCAGATGTCACTGGGACGGGGTTATTGTCACCGTCCCTTGACTAATCCCTCTGGTTTGTGGTGTCCCCCTGCAAACTGCCCACTGGACTCAGGGCAGGAGGTACAAGCCACCGAGTAAAGGGCTCTCTGTCTCCTTCCTGAGCCTGCCTTTACTGCTGGCAGAGGGCCCCAGGGGCATGGCCTTGGCTGCCCTGTCCCTGCTTGCATCCCTGTCCCATGCAGCCCGGTTCTCCCCTTGCAGCAGTGTCATGCATCACCCCATAAACACCATAGACACAGGAGATACAAACTGTAAACTTCAAAACAGCTGTTGAAGCATGTGTGTGCAAGCCCTGCACAGCGTTGGCTCTGCATGGAGCGAAGCAGGGCTTCCCTGTGGGCAGCACGGCATGAGGAGCCAGTTTCTGGGGGCTTTTCCCCAGAAAAGCCCTTCTCAGCCTAAATCTAAGCTGTGGTTAGCAGCAGCAATGGCAACTTGGGCTTAGTCCTGAGCACAGTGGTTGTAGAAAAGGTTTCTGGCAGGCACGGGCACACTGAGGATGGGCTCTCGCAGCTGCCAGCAAACTCGTGGCAGCAGGAGGGCCCTGCATGGCCCCGTGGGGCTCCAGCAGCAGCTGGAGCAGGGGATGATGGCGAGGAAAAGGGACCTGCAAAACCCTGGGGCTTGCTGCTGTTACAGTGAGCACTCCAACAAGCGCCCGGGGCGATCCCTGGCCGGGGTGTAAGGTGCGAGCTGGCACCTTGGCAAAGGCACATCTGCCCCCAGCATAGAGGGGCACGAGCAATCTCAAGGCGTGCTGTGCCCATCACTGGGAGAGCGTGGGGGGGGCGTAGCGACGCTCAAACTGGCCCACGTCGAACTTGCGCTTGCAGCCGGCGTAGTTCATGTAGCGGATCTTCCCGAAGATGGCCCGCTCTGCCCAGCCCTGGTCATGTATGCCGCAGATGGACCAGAGGCAGCCTGCCGGGTGTAGGGACAGAGCGTCAGCTCTCCCCCTTGCTCGGAGGCATCTGGAGAGCAGGTGGGATGTGGGTGCAAAGCAGGACAGGCTGGAGCGTGGGCTGGGTTGTCTGCAGAGAGCCCTCCCCACCCCACCGCAGCCTTGGCCATCAAAGACCCTCCACCCCACGCCCCCGTCCTGCAGCTTGCCTACGTATCCGTTGGGGTCCCTCCCATCCAGCTCGTAGCGGTCATTGAGGTAGATGGCAAACTGCAGGGCTTCCTCAGGGGAGCGGGTCCATTCCAGGATCTTCTTGGCCCAGTACATCCGCAGGAAGCCATGCATCTTGCCCTCCTGGACCATTTGGAGCTGGGGGGACAGGGACAGCCGCAGGGGTCAGTCCGTGCCAGCTTGCCTCTGCCCCTTGGGAAAAGGCCTAGCATTTTGCAGAGGAGACGCAGGGCTTTACCTGGGCAGCGTTCCAGAGTGGGTCATGCGTGGTCCCCTGCTCCAGCTCCTGCAGCTCATAGAGAAAAGGCCTCTTGTCTTTGGCGTGGAGCTTCAGGGTGGTTTGCGCCCAGTTGTAGGCACCTGCGAGCAAGAGAAATGAGGACCAACATTGAGCAACCCACTCCTGCAGGGCCCCGAGGAAGGGATGGAGAATTGGGCTACTGAGGGCACCGTGCCCTGGAGGCACCAGCCTTTAAAAGGGCATCTGCCAGCTCCTGTCCTACCTCCAGGAGGTACCGAATGATGACACATTGGTGCTCCCACAGCCCCTCCCCTGACAGAAATGGGATTGCCAAATTGGGATGACCAGTTGGGTACCAGCCCAGCCCCCAGCATTGCCCACCCAACCCGGGATGCTACCTTGCACGCTGTTGTAGTTCTCATTGTAGTAGCAAAAGTTTTCAGCCAGCTCCCGCCGCACCACGGCCTCCTCCACAAATGCGTCCACTGACTCCTTGTACTTGCCCCGGTGCTTCTGCACCTCCAGGATGGCTCGTTGGGTGGAAACCTGGCCTGGGGACATGGGGAGGGAACAAGTCAGGCTGCCGGTCCAAGCCATGGTGCTCGGTCCTGCTGCAGAGTGGGAAGCCTGGGACACTCACCGAAGTGGAACCATGGGGACAGGTTGCTGAGCGCTGCCTTGTTGGGATCGTTCCGGTGGGAACCGAAGGATTTCAGCCGTTCTGCGATGAAGGACTGCAGCACAGCCAGCCCTGCAGCCGTGCCGGGGGTCGCCCACTCCACCTCCTTCACGGTGCGGTCCACCTGCAAGCTGGAGTAACACGCCTCCCAAGCGATGGGCTGGGTGGCAACCAAGCAGCATGAGTGCATTTGCAGATGCTCTTCAGTCAGGGCTGCCCTGAGTGTTATGTCCCCTGGATGTCCCCAACCAGCAAGTCCCCAGCTCATGCCAGCCTTCTCCTCTTAACCAGCCCTGCATGGCAGGGATGTAGGAATTGAACGAATGAGGTGGGCACCTCCCTTCCCCAGGGCATCCCCATCTCCACACTGCCTGTGCATGACCTCAGGCAGGTCACTGTCCCCATCCCCTGCCATCCCCTCCCAGGATCACGAAGCAGCTGTGAAACTCTCTGGGACTGGCTGCAAGTGGGTGTGGAGGTGTCTCCTGCTGGTACCTCTGCCGGGCAGGAGGGGGGATATGGGTGGCGAATGATGGGGGGGAACTCGGTGAGGAACTCGGGGAGCTGAGCATCGATCTTGCCCCGGATGGTCCTGGCGCTGTACTCCTGCTTGGGGGAGGCGACCCAGCAGGGCACGATGTTGTGGGCATCAACCTGGGAAGCAAAGCCATGGAGGAGGGTGTGAGCAGGAGAAGCAAACGATCCCGATGACATGACACACATGCTCCCTGCTCAGGTCACTCCAGTGCACCTCTGCAGGCACGAAACGCAGGAGACAAGTTTCTCCCACGTTTCACCAGCCAGAGTTTTCCCCTCCCAGAGTGCAGGCACCCACCTGTGCAAACGGCACGTCCTCTGGCAACCGCTCCCTGACGTCCTCCACCCACTGCCGGGGGAGGTGGAGGGGGCAGAAGTCTGTCACCAGCCCGCCCACGCCATGCTCCACCACAAACGTGGGCAGCACGTCCTTGGCATAGCCCAGCAGCAAGTGGAAGGGGATGTTCAGCTCTGCGCACTCCTGCAGCGAGGGGGAAAGGGCTATGGGATGCCTCTGCAGACCCCATCCCACCACCATCCGCTGAAGGGATGGATCTGCCTCCCCCTTCCCCAGGAGCCCTGTCCCTGCCCTGTTCCACCCAGCGTGGACATCCCTGCAGCGGCCGTACCTCGGCCACCTCCTGCAGGCCCTTCAGCATGAAGCCGTAATGGCGGATGGTGGCATCCAGGAATTTGGGCACCAGGCAGAAGCAGACGTGCAGAGGTAGCTCCTGTTTGAGGGCCAGGCGCTGGGCGTAGAGGAAAGCCCAGTTATCTGGGGAGAAAGCACACAGGTCAGTGTTGGGGGGGATGCTCTGCTGAGGAGATGGAGACGGCATTTTGCAAGAGGAATTCCCCCAGTCCCCCCTGCGGAGGGGGGACCAGCTCCAGGGGCTACCGTGGGAAGTGACCAAGGCTTTTGCCACCCGTGGGAGCTCCGTTTCCCGCCCCCCTCCACCAGCTGGTTCGCACCTTGC